TACTAGGACACAGGCTCAATACTGCAATGATATTTTGTTTTTTTCGAACAAGCATGCAAACAGATCTGAGTTTAACAAGCTCTGTGGACGCCAAAATGGAAGGAAGTTTGACGCGCGTGGGTGAGGTTACAGTGCAAGGTGAGGTGTGCATTGCAGAATCTAGTCGAAAATATAGAAAACCTTTTCCTAACGTAAATTTGAGTAAGCTGTTGAGATTACAATTGTGACTAATAAAACGAAGAAACAAACCGTTTGCACAGGACGCGCTAGGCACCTGTGTCTACATGGCCTGCTCTGTCGTCGGGCCTTTTCCAGGGGTCCCGAAAAGGCATTTTTCAGATTAATTCTTTTTTTTTTAGGGTGTCGAGAAAGTAATACTGGCATTATTTTAATGGATCTGGGCAATCCAATTGCCAGTCAAACACGGAAGTACGGTGATGGAAAACGGCGATTCCTACTTTTAAGTTCAAACGTGAGTAAACAGCAACGCGTGAAAGGTGAACACTCGAAAAATCCCCCGCAAATACTCAAATAGACAATATTGGATATTTTATGGTTTCCACAAGAAAGATGGCTCAGGAAAGGACTTGTGAACACACCTAAATCGTCGATTACGGTCGATATGGCTTGGGATTATCATTAATTAGGAATTCGTATGCAAAATTGTTAGTATTGTTTTTTCAGGATCTTTTCAGTGACGTGATGAACTCCGTTCGCTATGTGCGTCTGGGAGGCGCATCTGCGAAGTGCACGCTGCACTATCGTCAATCCGCGTAGCCTCGACGGCACCTGTAATAGCATCCAGGCCACGTCTAGAAGTTGTCGGTTCGTACAAGCAGATCGTACGCAACAAACTACCTTCATCTGTCAACTCAGGTAGATTAATATCTGATAACTCGTGCGTATTTTAAAGCACTTGCAGCTTTTTAGAGCCGACGATAGCTGTTCATCGTTCAGCTTGTCATTCCAGTCCTGTTGATTCTTCACATCTCTCACAATCGAACCGATTGTAGTCCCGAGAGGAGATAAATCTGTGCAATCTGTTGCAATGCCGTCATGAACGCTGCATTCTTTGCAAAGATAATTAAAAAGTGCTAGATACAATGCACGTGGAGACTATATACACACTCGAAAATTGTCAGTTTCTCTGCAGGTGGTGAGAGTTTTTACTTTTCCAGTATTTAAGTTCTAATATTTAAAAGTAAAAGCGTTTCGCATCAATTATTGCAATCTGAAATAGAAAAAAAAAATGTCATGGTTGAGCGAAGGTTGTTAGAGGGTCCCACGATAACAGGCTGTCCACCCCCCCCCCCTTTTTTTAGCCGCCTCCCACGATATGTTCAAAATTCGTGGCGCGAAGCGATTCGGAGAATGCCACGCTCAAGTGGGACACAAAACCACAAAATATGACAGGGAAAGAACTTGATTAAATAAGTAAATTCCCGCCGAATTTGTGACTTGTGGTAAAGCTACAGAACTAAACACCGAAAATATAGGTGTTGATACAGGATTTTGGTATCAGCAGAGTGTTCCATAGCAGACTAGGCATAGGCTGGGAGGCCTGGCGTTCCTGTTGTTTAAC